AATGGACTTTTTGGAAATTTTCCGGTCGTAAAAAAATTTGGCAATACCATAAATTAAATCAATAATGAACAATAAAAAATTCCCACTCCAAAATCGATCGATATCTCGAATTGATCAATAAATGAATAAGTGAAAAAAAATTATGCGCGTTTTTTATGTCTCAAATGATGTAGAGAAAAAAAAAATGAAGAGTGACGGAATAATAATTGGCCGATTGTTGTAATTGCGATGGGAAGGGAAGCTCCAGCAAAAACTTTAAAGTCTTGCCACTGGGATATAGAGACAGAGGGATGGTCCAATTTGGATGGTTACCAAGGCAAACGATACGTTAAATAGATAGGACGGCAACGCCGGTGGGGAGTCCGACATAATGAGGACCACCCGCTAGTTCGCTCTTCCTCGACGTCAGAAAATCCACTCGTTCCCGAACGCGTTCGCAGTGTCACTCGGTTGACGAATTCCCCCACGATAAAGACCGTCAAACAATTATTAATCCCCATTAATCCGTGCGGGAGGAATAAAAAAAAAATTTAATTAATTAACGAGCCAATAAATTCAGCAGTAAAAAAAAAATCATAATCACTTTAACGGCCCCTAAATTGACAGAGATTGATCGAGGGTAAATGCGGTAGTAGCGCGTTTTTAAAAGCCACTTAATCTTTACCCTGAAATCCCATCCATGTGAGACACCCTTTAGCACAACCACTGAAAATTCCCACTCGTTCTCAATGTTTGTGCTGTTAATTATTAGTAGCTCGCTATATTGAGCATGAAAATCGTATATTTCTTTCGGTGTGGCGAAATTCAAGTCAAATTGCCGTTAAAATTGCAATCACGGTGGTCCAGGCATTTCTTAAACCTTCCTACCACCAGTGAAAACTACAGAAGCTACTCAAGGAGATGAGATAAACTCACCCGGGTCTGCACCTCTCTGGTCTCCAATCCGTCGTCTCCGGCGCGTCGCGCTCCACCACGAAATTAGATGGTCTATTCTAGGACAACACTGCCGGCAAGTTCAAAACTGAAAAGAGAAAAGAAAAAAAAATCTATAAAAATGTAATCGAGTTGGTGTTCGTCACACTTCGAGGGTGAATAACAAATGTCAAGATAAGAGGGAGAGAGAGGAAAAAAAAAAAGAGAAATAGCTCGTTTGTTTGAGGATTCCGCTGTTTATATGGGAGTCGTGTGAAGCGTTCATACAGCCACTCGTTTCCCGATTTTTCCGAGGCATCCAGAGAGCTATACCCTCGATCTTCTCCATGCGTCCCAACCAGTAATTGAATATCGCCCGGGTGAAGCATGGCTTCAGCGAATAAACAATGAAAATAAAGGTAAAAAGCCCACAGAATCAAATGAAATAAAAAGGGAGAGAGAGAGGGAGTGAGGGAGAGCGAGGGAGAGCGAGGGAGAGAGGGAGAGAAGGAGAGAGAGGGAGTGGGTGGTTGGGGGGGAGAGAGAGGGAGTGGGTGGTTGGGGGGGAGAGGGAATCCGCACCGGGGGGAGAAAATCGATATTTTAATTGGACAAAATAATTGGAACGAACGAATGGAAGATGGTAATCTCTGGTGGATGCTCTCTCTGTCTCTCTCTCTCACTCCCTTTGGGCTTTATTGTCCAAAGCTGGCGCGCACGCCCTTTTTTCCACTCACACAACTATCCATGCCCTGTTATGCACCTTTGCCATCAATGTTTTTCACGATGCGCAGGCGTCTCGCGACATGTCTTGAATATATATATTTTTTTTTTCACCCGGGATTATTCCATAATCCCACCAGCGGCAAAATGAGAATAATCCCCAATAGTTTAGACTCTGTATTCGGTTAATTAAATTTGTATTTGATCTCGCAAAAGGTAATCGGATTTTCCGCATGAATTGAGGACGAGTGGGTTGCATGGTGATCCCCAAAGAGAATTGACGAATAAATAAATAAATAAATGAAAAATTAATTGGACGATTACGAAGGTTGTGTTGTCAGGGCGGATGTTTTGGGGGTTTTGGTCAATTAGATGGAAGCAACAAATATTTAGCTTCACCATTGGCGTGAAATGTCTCGAATTCCGTATGGAGATGCAGTATGTGAAACTCTCGACACCTCAACACGTGCGCGCCATGCGTGTCTAGTTAGCTGAGATCTGAGGGCCTGAGGGCCTGAGGCCCTGGGGCCGTGGAGGCTTGAGATGGTTGAGGCGCCTCCACCCCCCAATCCACACTTCTTCAAAGCAAACCTACACATATTTGTGGATTATTGACTCGTTAGTGAACCAAAAGCTAAACTCATTGCACTGCGGTTTCCCCAAATGGTTCATTTGCTTTCTAAAACGACCGAGACACGCCCGACACTTCCGCTCTTAAAAAACCAACTCCCCTGTTCATTTCTTTCACATTTAATACCACCACTTCCGCTCGCCATTTCCCAGGAATGGAATTTTGCATCTTTACAGGGAAAAGCAAATTGCTCAAGCGCTATTTATTTGTGGCCCCCCTTTTTTTTTTTCATCGGTCGAGCGCACGTCTCACACGCGTCCCCGCGTCACTCCAACGATTTATCACATGTTTAGATCCCTGGAGATGCCACTCATGGAATTAAATGCGTTAAATAAAAATACCATAGCTGTCGCGCAATGCGAAAACTCCGAGACCATCCGTCCAATCGATTCCTCGTAATTGGCCAATTTCTTTACCATTTCTTGGGGTGTCATTTTTATTTTTGAGACAGCTACCATTTGCTCACATAAACGAGTGGCTGAGTTGTTTTCTCGGGTACTAGAGGAAATTCCACGGTGTCTGTTACTCGGAGCTGCCCACCTCCAGAAAATAATAAAAATCAACCTATCCCTTTATTCGAGGCTATTTAGAGGTTCTCGAGTTGAAGAGCATTTTACCACGAGTACTTGAATGTCTGACATTTGATTCACTCGCGTGCCTACTTATCCAATTTACTGTCGACGGGTTAGTTCCCCTTTGGAGAACTCTATTCTGAATGATCCCATGAATTTTATCACCTGGCGTTGATTTAATTTACCATTTTATTTAATTTTTAATAAAAAAACGAGAGGAAATGGAGAATAAATACCGAGATTAAGAGCGAGCTAACCGTCTCTTTAACGACAGGAAGTGTTTGTTGCCGGAGACGAGAAGAAACATGTGTTTTGAGGTTTCGCATGCTCATATTTAAGTAATCATAACACTTTGTCCCATTCGACAACTCCAGTTCTAATTACATTTCAACATTTATCAGCGTCAATTGCCCGCAACCGTACACCAGTATATATACGAATAAATGCAATTGAAGAGTGACTGAGGTAAACGTAAATTGAGAGGCAGAAGAAGCCGAATGAGAGATGGCTAGTTTGTTTTTGGAAGTGTGCATGTATTGCTTACAAATGTACCGTTGTAAAAACCCAACAAGCACCACCACGTCCTAATGAGTCTGGGCTGTTAAAAGATCTACTCCCACTTTATTTTCCCCTTCTCCCATC